CCCATCCCTCCCCTCCCTCGTAACCATCAAAGATTGTTTCTTTTTGTGTGTAAACGTTTTCATGAGTTTTTATAGTAGTGGTCTCATACAATATTTGTCCTTTTATCATTGACTTATTTCACTCAGCATAATGCCCTCCAGATTCATCCATGCTGTGAGGTGCTTCACAGATTCATCATTGTTCTTTATCATTGCATAGTACTCCATTGTTTGTATGTACCATAGTTTGTTTATCCATTCTTCTGTTGATTGGCACCTAGGTTGTTTCCATCTTTTTGCCATTGTGAACAATGCTGCAATGAATACGGGTGTGCATGTCTATTCGTGTGACGGATCTTATTTCTCTAGGATATACTACTAGGAGTGGAATTGCTGGATCATATGGTATTTCTATTTCTAGCTTTCTAAGGAAGTGCCATATCATTTTCCAAAATGGTTGTATCATTTTGCATTCCCACTAACAGTGCATAAGAGTTCCAATCTCCCCGCAGCCTCTCCAACATTTGTTAGTTTGTTTTTGTGATTCATGTCAGTAACGCAGGGGTGAGATGGTATCTCATTGTAGTTTGATTTGCATTTCTCTAATGGCTAGTGATCATGAGCATTTCCTCACATGTCTGTTAGTCACTTGAATGTCTTCTTTGGTGAAGTGTCTGTTCATTTCCTTTGCTCATTTTTTAATTGGAATATTTGTCATTTTGTTGTAGAGGTGTTGGATTTTCCTGTACATTTTAGAGATTAGACTTTTGTCAGATTTGTCATAGTCCCAAATCTTTTCCTAGTCTGTAGCTTCTCTTTTTACTCTTTTGATGAAGTCTTTTGATGAGCACAAGTGTTTAATTTTTAGAAGATCCCAGTTATCTAGCTTATCTTCTGGAGTTTGTGTGTTGTTAGTTATGGTTTGTATCCTGTTAATGCTGTGTATTAGGGCCTCTAGCATTGATCCTATTTTTTCTTCCAGGACTTTTATAGTTTTTGGTTTTATATTTAGGTCTCTGACCCATTTTGAATTAGTTTTTGTATATGGTGTGAGGTACGGGTTTTGTTTCATTTTTTTGCAGATGGACATCTAGTTTTGCCAGCACCATCTGTTAAAAAGACTGTCTTTTCCCCATTTGATGGACTTTGGGCCTTTGTCAAAAATCAGGTGAGCGTAGGTGGATGGATTTATATCTGGGTTCTCAATTCTGTTCCATTGGTCAATGTATCTGTCGTTGTACCAGTACCAGGCTGTATGGACTACCATAGTTGCATAATAAGTTCTGAGATCAGATGGTTTGAGTCCTCTTACTTTATTCTTCTTCTTCAATAGTGCTTTATTATCCGGGGCCTCTTCCTTTTCCATATAAAGTTAATGATTAGTTTTTCCATCCCTTTAAAGAATGTTGTTGGTATTTGGATCGGGATTGCATTGTATTGTAAATTCGTTTGGGTAGAACTGACATTTCCACAATGTTGAGTCTACCTATCTATGAGCATGGTATGTTTATCCATTTCTATAGATCTCTTTTGGTTTACTGTAGTAGTGTTTTGTAGTTTTCTTTGAATAGGTCTTTTACATCCCTGGTTAGATTTATTCCTAAATATTTTATTTTTTTTAGAGACTATTATAAATGGTATTGTTTTCCTGATTTCCTTGTCATCATTCTCTTTATTGGTGTATAGGAATTCAACTGATTTTTGTATGTTTATCTTGTATCCTGCTACTCTGCTGAATCTTTCTATTAGTTCCAGTAGTTTTCTTATGGAGTCTTTTGGGTTTTCTACGTATAGTATCATATCATCCACAAATAGGGACAATTTTACTTCTTCATTACCAATTTGGATGCCCTTTATTTCTTTTTCTTGCCTTATTGCTCTAGCTAGGACTTCCAGCACAGTGTTAAATAGAGTGGTGATAAAAGGCATCCTTGTCTTGTTCCTGTTCTCAAGGGGAATGTTTTCAGCTTCTCTTCATTAAGACTGATGTTGGCTGTTGGTTTTGTATAGATGCCCTTTATTATGCTGCGGAATGTACTTTCTATACCTATTTTACCGAGAGTTTTTATCAGGAATGGGTGTTGGACTTTGTTGAATGCCTTTTCTGCGTCGCTTGAGATGATCATGTGATTCTTTTCCTTATGTGGTGGATTACGATGATTGATTTTCTAATGTTGAACATTCCTTGCATACCTCGTACCTGACAATTTTTTACTGAATGCCAAACACTATGAATTTTATGTTGAATTTCGTTTTTGTATTCCTGTAAATATTCTTGAGCTTTGTTCTGGGATGTAGTTAAGTTACTAAGAAATATTTCGATCCTCTCAGGTCTTGTTTTAAGCTTTATTAGGTTGGACTAAAGCAGCATTTAGTCTAGGGGTCATTTTACCATACTACAAAATAAAACACTTCTGAGTATTCCACCCAATGCCCTGTGAACTGTGAAGTTTTTCACTTTGCTGGTGGGAACAGAAAGTATTCTTGGCCTTGTATGTGGCCCAGGGATTTTCTCTTTTACTCTTTTGAGTGATCCTTTTTCTGGCCTCAGTTTACTCACACGCATGCCCTGACCAGCACTCAGCTGAACATTCAAGAATTCTCTGCAGACCTCTCTAGTTCTCTGTACAGTTCTATCCTCTGGCAATCTGCCCTGCAAACTCATGCCACCTTAGCCTCCCCAAACTCCCAGCTCTACCTCTGGAGCTGATGTCTACCAGCATATGCCTGAGTTTCCCCTCCTTGAGCTGTGACCTGGAAAGTCTCTCCAGGAGGTAAGCCAGGCAATTGTTGAGTTCACATCATTTGTTTCCCATCTCTTAGGGATCACTGTCTTTCATTATCTGGTGAACAATATCTTGAAAACCATTGTTTCATATATTTTGAACAGTATTTTAATTCTTCCAGGTGGGAGGGTTAACCTAGTCCTTGTTAATTCATCCTGGCAGGAAGTGAAAGTCAAAGAGTTCAGTTTTGGACATGTCAAATTTAAGATGACTACTGGCAGCACAACGTATAAGAGCTGGGATGCTAACCAAACAGCTGGTAAGTTCAAATCCACCAGCACTTCCTTGGAAAGCCTATGGGGCAGTTCTACTCTGTCCTATAGGGTCACTGTCATGGATTGAATTGTGTCGCCCAAAAATATCTGTCAAGTTGGCTGGGTCATGATTCCCAGTATTATATGATTGTGTACCATTCTGTAATCTGATGTGATTTCCTTATGTGTTGTTAACTTGATCACTATGATGTAATAAAATGGATTGGCGGCAGTTATACTGATGAGGTCTACAAGATTAGATAGTGTCTTAAGCCAATCTCTTTTGAGATATAAAAGAGAGAAGCAAGCAGACACATGGGAACCTCATACCACCAAGAAAGCAGTGCCGGGAGCAGAGTGTGTCCTTTGGACCTGAGGTAGAGAAGCTCCCAGACTAAGGGAAGATTCATGACACGGACCTTCCTTCAGAGTAAACAGAGAAAGAGTTCCTCTGGAGCTGGCACCCTGAATTTGGACTTCTAGCTCCCTAGACTGTGAGAAAATAAACTTCTTTTTGTTAAAGCCATCCACTTGTGGTATTTCTGTTACAGCAGCACTAGATGACTACGACAGTCGCTGAGTTGGAACTGACTCGAGGGCACATAGCAACAACTGGCATCTAAATGGAGGTTTCAAGTTTGCAGCTGGATTATAAGTTTCAAGGAAGATACCAAGGATGTAGATATATATTTATGAGAAATTAGAATATGGGTGGACTATAAAGCCATGGGACTGGGTGAGATAATTTAAGGAAGGGACTGGCAAACTACAGTTTATAGGCCAAATCTGGCCCCAACACGTGTTTTTAAAATTACAATTTTATTGGAACGCAGCCATCCCCATTTGTTTTCATATTGCTTAATGTTGCCTTTGTACTACAATGGCAAAAGTGAGTAGTTGTGACAGAGAATTCTAGCTCACAAAGCCTAAAATATTTACTATCTGGCTCTTTACAGAAAAAGATTGATAGCCTCTGATCTACAGAATGAACAAACAGAAAAAGAAAGAATGCCAGTGGACTGAATCCTGGAGTACTCCAAAATTTTGAGGGCAAACAGAAAAGAAGGAATCAGAAGGCAGTGAAGCAGGAAGAGAACAAGGAGAGTCTGATGTTTCTAAGGCAAAATGCAAAAAAAAAAAGCATATCAAGAAGAAAGTTGTGTCAACTGTGTCAAATATTGCTGATGATGAGGACTAATAAATGATCAGCATAGATTTAGCGAAATGGTCTCTTCCAGTTTTAATGAAGTTGTGGTTGTGGTAGGGAGGGCTGATTAAATATGGTTGAGAAGACAATGTGAGGTGAAAAAGAAGACAAGTCAGTCTTTTTGAGGAGTTGTGCTAAAAAAGGGAAAGAAACAAATGGGAAAAAGATATGCAATTTGGGGATGATTTTAAAGAAACAAAATATTACAGTATATTTTTATGTTGATGAGTAATATTTAGAAGAGAGGCAAAAATTGATGATGAGGGACAGGGTAGAGATGGAGAGAGATACTGAAGTAATAGAAGAGACAATGCGACAAGGGGAGCTAGTGGATATTTCAGCTGAAGCAAGTAGGATGCACATTGCCAGTATCCTTTTGTCTCCCTGGAGTTATTAGCCAGCTGGGTGGCTACTGCAGGTGTGGTAGGAGCAGATAAGTATTTCCAGGATTACTATAGGATATATTTCACAGAGAAATACTTTGAGGAATGGTGAGATTTACATTTCTACATCAAAAGGTTTGCTTAGTCCATTACAAAGCTAAACTGTATCCTCATGGTACATAGGTGATAATATAAATGGTACCATAGTACGATTAGGAACAGAGTTCAGCTACATAATATGTTGAAAAAACACTTTCAGACTGCCTAAGAACTAAAACAATCATTTGTAAGACTATTTTAATGGAAAATGTGTTTCAGGGTTTTTAATTAAAAAAATACAGAAAACCTTTGGATGTTTTCTGTTGGGGGATGTTAGATATGGTGAACTTACCAATCTTCATCACCTAAAAGCTTTAGGGCTTCTGTCAGTGCTATTTCTGGTTTGGAAAATGGCCGTAGTTCTGAGGAATCCATTATTTCTGGACTATGAGTGACAGATGGCAACCTTTCTTTATACTGTGGAATGGCTCCGGGAAATGCTTCACCTAAAACAAAGCATTAAAAAAGCATCAGAGAACCTTGATACAAGGTGAATACAAATGGCATTCTGATTACACATGTTATGAATCTCTTATAGAAACTAGTACTATTAGTCTCCAATAAAATTAATATCCAGATACCAAAGCTATTTGAAGCCTTACTTTTTATACACAAAATTATTAATGAACTACATTTAATATAGATATGTAAGTGGTTTTTCAGTCATGAGTCATAGAACTAAGTCTGGCTTTCTCTTAAAAGCTAATAAGTCAATACAAAGCAATATGATCCCATTTTGTAAAAACATACAGATATATATGCCTATGTTACTATTCATGTGACAACTGAAAATGAAGCTTCATGGCATTTGTATATAGAATTCTAGTTGTTTTCCTCTACTGGTATAGAATTAACGGTCTATTATAAACCCTAGGACCATGTTTAGTAATAAGAACAATGCTTCTTTCATGATCAGGCATTTGCCAAGCATTTTCTAGATTTAAGGCCCTGCCCTAGGTGTTAGGGACACAAATCGTAGTTACTGAGTGCCCTGAGAGCACTGCACACTGCAAGATTCCTGTAGTGGAGGTGTTCAAAAGGAAACGATGAAATAGAATGAATAATAGCTTTTGTAAGTGAGTAAAGATCTTTGGTTATTTTTCCATGTAAAGAGATACTTTAATAAAGGAAATATTAGGCACTATAAATGACTACCAGTAAAAGATAATGTTTGTCAACATTATAATGTTTGTCATTAATTATAATTTTGTCACAATGCTATTTGTGAGAAAATCCTACATGAAATCACAAATGTAAGAAATTTCCCTTGATGCTGAAGACAAATAACGTATTCAGATACTTCCATTAGCCATTTAAAATCCAAAGGCAACAAGATATTAATGATATTACCAAACCAAAAAAAAAAAAAACCCATTGCCGTCAGGTCGTATTCTGACCCATAGCGAGCCTACAGGATAGAGTAAAACTACTCCATAGGGATTAATATTAAGCTAACATTTATTAAACACTTTGTGCCAGACCTTGTGCTAAATACAAACTTCATTGCATTTAGTTCTCTCAACAAAGCTGATGTAGATACCTCATTATCTCTACATTGCAGCTGAGAAAATAAATGCATTTTATAGAAGCTAAGAAATTAAAATTTGTTCAAGATCCCAATGCTATCCAGAGGACTAATGGACCACAACTACCACAGCCTCTACCATACTCAGTCCAGCACACCTAGATGGTGCCCAGCTACCAGAACCAACTGCTCTGACAGGGATCATAATAGAGGGTACAGGACAGAGCTGGAGAAAAATGCGGAACAAAATTCTAACTCACAAAAAAGACCAGACTTACAGGTCTGACAGAGACTGGAGAAACCCCAGAGTATGGCCCCCAGACACCCTTTTAACTCAGTACTGAAGTCACACTCCTGAGGTTCACCCTTCAGTCAAAGGTTAGACAGGCCGGTAAAACAAAATGAGACTGAATAGGCACACCAGCCCAGGGGCAAGGACAAGAAGACAGGAGGAGACAAGAAAGCTAGTAATAGGGAACCCAAGGTCGAGAAGGGGAGAGTGCTGGTATGTCGTAGGGCTGGCAACCAATGTCACAAAACAATATACGTATTAATTGTTTAATGAGAAACTAATTTGCTCTGTAAACCTTCATCTACAGTACCAAAAAAAAGGAGTCCAATGCTAATGAGTGGCAGAGGCAGGATTTAGATCTAGGTTCACTATCACCTATGATTTTACATAAACAGGTCTGACATAGAATCTCTGCTTTCAAGAAATTTCTTATACCTGAGAAGAAAAGATATATAAAAAGATAAATATCATGATAGTTTGGATTACTACAATGTCATATTAGTACCAGTTTTTGTTATAGTAAATTATATATGAGGAAGAAGATATGCCAGTTAAAGAATAAACAGACCTCAATTCATTTTTTTTAATAGCTCAGATGTACCCTCATTAGGTCTCATATGTAAGACTGATATGTATCAACATAATTCTCCAGTTTGGGAATATCACAATGCTGAAAGAATAGCAAATACAAAATAGCACTACTATTATTTACTGAGATCTTTCCTGGCATTGTGTTAAGTGCTTCATTTACTGTATATTATTTCATTCAATCTTCTCAACAACCCTATGTGATAAGTTACTATTCCTACATTAGAGATGAAGAAACTGATCCTGAAGTTTTAAGGATTCTCTCTCTATAATCTACTCCACGCCCACTCTCATAAGAGATAAACTTAGGAAGAGACAGATAAACACAAAATTTACTATCTTGGGGTTATACCAATATCAAGTACCACTGCGTGCCCATCTTTGTTTTAAGTTGAAAAAAGTAAAATGAAACAAGACAAATATAATGTTGTATCCTGGAAAAGGAGATGTGCAGAATATCAATCTAAAGCAATGCTGCTCAACCTGAGTTTTTTGTTTTTTAACTTTTCTAAAATACAAGAAAAATGTTGTGGCAATGTAAAATTGTTAAACTAGTTTCTAAAAGCTTAGTCTTTGAATTTATCTTTTCACAGACTAACAATAAACAGTTCATCTAGTCCATGGACCACATACTTTGAGTAGCATTGGTCTAATGAATACACAGTTACTAAGGAGACATATCCAATTGGAATTTTGCTATTAAAAATTATTTCTGACAATATTTTCATAGCTAAAAATAGGGGCTAAACATTTACATTTTGGGCTGATCTATGCAAAAATTTTCTAAGTATATTCTTCCATTCAAATAGTTCAGGGGTGACCTCAAGAAAACACTCTCCTTATACTTCTTAGAAACAAAATCTGTAGAACCAATAGATGAAAACCACAGAATTAGTTAATGTCTTTAGCAAGAATAAACCAAAAACCAAACCCATTGCCATTAAGTCGACTGACTCGTAGCAAACTGCCCCACAGGGTTTCCAAGGCTGTAAATCTTTACGGAAGCAGACTGCCACATCTTCCTCCCGCGGAGCAGCTGGCGGGTCCGACCTGCTGACCTTTTGGTTAGCAGCCAAGTGCTTAAACCACTGTGCCACCAGCAAGAATGCATACCTAAAAACTTACCATTTGTTACTATTTGTAATATTTGCTACTATTTGTACTTTTATTCCTACTATTTGTACTTCTATTACCTGCTCTCTTAGGTAAGAAGTTCCCCGCCTCTGGATTTTATGACTATAATGAATAGTATAATTGTCTGAGAATGCTAACAAAGGAGTTTAAATTTCACAAATGTCTACATTTAACCCTAAGGCCATGTTCAGCCACCAGTTTTACAGACCAATGCTCTGATAAGACATAACATCTACATTGATTAACTTTGGGAATGCAGAATTTTTAAAAGTCCACTATACTTCTGGTTAAGCACTGGACTACTAGCCGTAAGTTTGGTGATTGGAACTAACCCAGAGGCACCTCGGAAGACAGTCCTGGCAATCTGCTTCTGAAAGGTCAAAGCCTTGAAAACCCTATGGAGTAGTTCTACTCTGCGCGCGCGGGGTTACCATGAGATGGAACTGACCTGATGGCGACTAACAACAACTATACTTGTAGCATTTTAAAAGAAATACAAAAAGCTAGGAAGAACCTCAGACCTTTGTCTAGTTCAAATCTGTTTTATACTTATCTCCAAGGAATAGACTTGATGGCACCCAACAACAACAGCAACAACAACATTATAGTTCACACAATTTACTCCTTAAAAATAATAAACAAAACAATTATAATAAATAATCCTTAACACTTATTACAGTTCATGTCATTTTCCATTTCAACCTGATTTCTACTAGTTGCTACTGTAGTACCAAGATCTATTCAATATGTTTTAAAAGTAGTATAGGAAACATGAAATCTACTCTTGGCCAGGCATAGAATATAATAGGTACTCAATGAATACCAAAAAGAAAACCCACACCTGATGCTGTTGAGTTGATTCTGACTCATAGTGAACCTACAGACTCAATGAACACACTGAATCAATGACAAAGGCAATGATTTTTTTTTTGTTTTTTGTTTTTTTATAATGATCTAATACAGAGAAGCTTCACCTTAGCTATAAAATGGGATATCACTCATCAAAAACTGCAGGAAAATTTCCAGGAACTATAGAAGGGATCTTAGAGATAATTACTAGACGTTAAAAATAATTTGTATATTTATAGGGGAAGAAAATTGAAGCCAGAGTTTTAAGCTAGTTTTTGCAGGTCACAAAGCTAATTAAAGGCAGAACTGATTCTTAAGAAGCTAGGTCTTCTGACTCCTAGTTCAGTGCTCTTTCTGTCACAAATGCACTGGACAATACGTGGTCTCTTTAGTTTAACAAGCATTTGGACATTACTCTTTACATTTAAACAAGTGACTTACCTGAATCTGAAAACACTAAAGATGGTGACCTTTTTAAACTGGCCTCTCCTTTCAATGGAGGGTGGAAGGCAATGTTTTCTAAAGGGGAACTCTCATTTTTTTTCACCTCCTCTCCAAAAATATGTAAGTCTAGAAGGGAGAAAAACAATCAGTCAACTTCCTTTTTATGACAAAGAATTAATATTTATTACAATAGAAGCCACTGGGTCTTTCAAATTTCATTGTTATAGGCCAACATATTCTACTCTTAGCTACCTATCATCCTCAGCCAAGCCATATTACTACCTTCAGCATATTTCTAGTTCAAAAATATACCAAACTTTAAATTCCACTTACTTTCAGATGCCATTTTCTCAGTTCCTGTATGTTTTATTCGTTCCCAGAGATTCTGTTCCTTTTTTTCACAGTCTTTAATGCCAAAAAATTCTTTCTCTTCTCTCTTTTGTCTCATCTTGTCATAAGTAGATTTTGACATAGAAACTTTAGTCTGCATGAAAAAGTTGAAATATCTGAAAGTATTCAGGGAGTTTGGCATTTAAAATAACTATCTTGAAGTCAGATATCTGTATATATACATTGAATGTCTAAACAAAATAAACTATGCATTTCTTAGTCATTATTCCAGGAATCCTAAAATCTAATAGAATTACATGGTGCTAAGATCCAAAGAAAACTGTGCCTGAGGATATTAGTTTGTTATTCCTTGAGTGTATCCTAGAAAACTATTGAATATGTATAAGTTGTTATGTGCCATAGAGTTGATTTTGACTCATAGTGATCCCACGTGAAAGAGTAGAACTACCCCATAGGGTTTTCTTGCCTGTAATTTTTACAGAAGCAGATCACCAGGTCTTTCTCCCGCAGAGCCACTGGATGGGTTTGAACTCCAACTTTTAGGTTAGCATGGTGCTTAAACATTGCACTGCCAGGGCTGCTTGAGTATACACATATGTGTGTGTGTGTGTGTACATACATACATAAACTTATATGTATGTATGTATGTATGTACACACACATACATAAAGTTATTGTTGTTAGTTGCCTGTGAGTTGGCTCCAACTCATGGAGACCCCATGTGTTGCAGAGCAGAACTGCACTCCATAGTGTTTTCAAAACTGTGACCTTTTGGAAGTAGATTGCCAGTACTTTCTTTTGAGACTCCTCCAGGTGAGTAAGAACTGCCAACCTTTCAGATAGTAGTTGAGTGCTTAACCATTTGCTCGATCCAGGAACTATATACTACTATATGCTCTAACACCAGAATGAGAAAAACCCATTGTTGAGTCAATTCCAACCCACAGTGACCCTATAGAACAGAGTAGAACTGCCCCATAGCGGTTCCAAGGAGCAGCTGGTGGATTCGAACTGCTGAGCTTTTGTTCAGCAGCTGTAGCTCTTAACCATTACACCACCAGGGCTCCCCAGAATGAGAAAGGAGATATCATTTAAATGGATAAGGATCAGAATTTTAGTTACATCGAGATTTTTTTAAAACATTTTATTGTGCTTTAGATGAAAGTTTACATAGCAAATTAATTTTCTAATCAATGATTCTTACACAGATTGTTTCATGACCTTGGCTGCAATCCCTGCAATGTGTCAGCACTCTCCCCATTTCTTTCCTGGGTTCCTCATTTCCATTAGTCCCGTTTTCCTGTCCCTCCCTGTCTTCTCATCTTTGGTTTTGGGCAAATATTGTCCTTTTGGTCTCGTATAGTCGATTGTTTTAAGGAGCACATTCTTCACGGATGTTAGTTTATTTCATAGCCCTGTCTATTATTTGGCTGAAAGGTAGCCACCAGGAGTGTCTACAGTTTCAAGTTAGAAGGTTGTCTTAGGGCAACAGTCTCAGGGGTTCCTTCAGTCTCTTTCAGACCAGAAAGTCTGTTTTTTTTTTCTTTTTTTTAATTTGAATTTTGTTCTACCTTTTTTACCCATTCTGCCCAGGACATTCTACTGTTATCCCAGTCAGAGTCATGGGTAGTGGTAGCCAGGTACCATCTAGTTCTTCTGGTCTCAGGTTAGAGGAGGCTGTGCTTCATGTGGGCCGTTAGTCCTCTGGACTAATTGCTTCAATGAGTCTTTGGTTTTCTTTGTTCTCCTTTCTTCCAGGAGGGAAGAGACCAATAGATGCTTCTTAGATGGCTGCTGGCAAGCTTTACGACCCCAGATGCTACTTACCACGCTAGGATATAAAATATTTCTTCATGATAAACTGTGTTTTGCCAACTGACCTAGACATCCCCCAAGACTATAGTCCTTAGCCTTCATGTCCAGTAGTTCAGTCTTGATGTCTAAGTAGTTTCTATAACTGTGCCCCTTATATGCTCTATTATATATATGAGTATACAGGCAGCATTTACAAATAGTATGTAGAAATATCCATAACCATACCTATATATGTACAAAGGTGTATTCCCGTACGACCCCCCTCACCTATTTAGCATACATATTAGCCTATGTATCTACTCCCAAATTATTTATTGTTATTACTGTTGTTGCAGGACTGCATACGTTATAGCATTTACTATAGTTGCCCTTTATACTTGCATATCAACACCACTAAGATTTTAAAAATTTAATCAAAAAACATTCACCACACCAAATTTGATATACACAAAATGATGACATCTTATAGGCTTAAACTTATCCTAATAGTTAATACATAACCTTACATCTTTTTCATTCTCAACATCAAGATATGATGGAATACTTTGCTGGACTGCTCTTCCATAAATCCCTGATGGAGGTTCAATACTTTGTTTAATAGAAAATGTATCCCCATTTTCCACAGAAGATTTCACGGACTGGCTGCAAGTTGCTGCTGCTGAATTTGGGCTTCCAAATACACCTGAAATCAATCAACCATCAAATAGTCATTAGGTATTTGTGTGACAGCACTCTGCATGACAAAATTTAAGCCAGGGCTCTTGCCTCCAAGAAGTAAACAATATAGTTAGTAAGAAAGACAAGTTAAATAATCATAAAAAAAAAAAAATATAACAGGACATTAATATAGGAGGTGTTACAAGGCATTTCATGATTAATATCAAATAAGAACCACATACTCTATGTACTGAGTAGACAGGAATGATGGTGTTGGCTGAGTTTAAGATGGTTTCAAGGAGCTAGGATTGGCAGATAGACTGGATTTCGACAGGCAGAAAGGAAGGAAAGGAGGACATCCTATGAGATGAGCATCTTTATAGGCAAAGCAGAACAAGTATGAACATTGTATGTAGACTGAATAAATTAGTTTGGTTGAGGACAAGGCAAATAGAGGAATAACAGAAAATAAGGCTGTAAGAGTAGACTGGAGTCAATAGGAGGAGAAACTTAAGTTGATGAGACTCTTTCAAGCAAAGAAGTTAGGGAATATTTTCAAGCATTTCATTGTATTTCATTATACTGAACAGAGATAGTTTAAGATGTACACTATTAATGTATGTCACCACATTCTAGTTTTTACAATTAAAAAAAGAAACTTACTAAAAAGCCAAGAAAGTTTTAAAGGATATCTGTAAATATGTCACTCAAAGATCCTCTATTATCCCTAAATTATATAACTTAGGAATTAAATTTTGATTTGTTCACACTTTTATAGAGGACAATAAATTATACTAATTTATACTGATTATTAAGTTTATAAATAAGGACTACCATTTAAACTATGCTAACACAGCCTTAGCTATCCTAAAGTTATCTTAGAAGTACTTAAACTGCAGTTATCACACCACATATCTCTCTGAAAATCGTTGTGGTTAGGTGCTGTTGGTCGGTTCTGAATCATAGTGACCCTATGTATAACAGAATGTAACACTGCCAGGTCCTACACCATCCTCATAATTGTTGCTATGTTTCAGCCCATTGGTGCAGCCACTGTGTCAATCCTCTGGCTGAGGGTCTTCCTCTTTTTCATTGATCCTCTACTTTACCAAGCAAAATGTCCTTCTCCAGGGACTGGTCCCTCCTGGTAACATGTCCAAAGTGTGTGAAACAAAGTGTCACCATCCTCGCTTCCTAGGAGCATTCTGGCAGTACTACTTCCAAGACAGATTTGCTATTTCTTCTGGCAGTCCACAGTATATTCAATATTCTTTTCCAACACCATAATTCAAAGGTATCAATTCTTCTTTGGTATTCCTTATTCATTGTCTAGCTTTCTTATGCATATGAAGTTACTTAAAATACCACGGCTTTGGTGAGGCGCACCTTAGTCCTTAAGGTGACATCTTTACTTTTTTAACACTTTAAAGAGGTCTTTTGCAGCAGATCTGCCCAATAAAATATATTGTTTGACTTCCTGACTGCTGCTTCCATAAGCCGTGATTGTAGATCCAAGTAAAATGAAATCCTTGACAACTTTAATATTTTCTCCATTTATCATGATGTTCCTTATTGGTCCATGTCATGGACTGAATTGTGACCCCCAAAAATATCTGTCAACTTGGCTGGGTCATGATTCCCAGTAATTGTATGATTGTGTACCATTCTGTAATCTTATGTGATTTCCTTATGTGTTGTAAACTCGATCTCTATGATGTAATAAGATGGATTAGCGGCAGTTATACTGATAAGTTGTACAAGATTAAACAGTGTCTTAAGCCAATTTCTTTTGAGATACAAAAGAGAGAAGCGAACAGAGACACATGGGAACCTCATACCACCAAGAAAGCAGTGCTGGGAGCAGAGCGCATCCTTTGGACCTGCGGTTCCTGTGCAGAGAAGCTCCCAGACCAAGGGAAGATTGATGACATGGACCTTCCTCCAAAGCGGACAGAGAAAGTGTTCTCCTGGAGCTGACACCCTAAATTTCGACTTGTAGCCTACTGGACAGTGAGAGAATAAATTCTCTTTGTTAAAAGCCATCCACTTGTGGTATTTCTGTTACAGCGGCACTAGATGACTAAGACAGTTCAGTTGTGAGGATTTTTGTTTTCTTTATATTGAGGTGTAATCCATACTGAAGGATGTAGTCTTTGATCTTCATCAGTAAGTGCTTCAAGTCCTCTTCACTTTCAGCAAGCAAGGCTGGGACATTTGCATACTGCAGGTTGTTAACAAGTCTTCCTCCAATCCTGATGCCACGTTCTTCTTTATATAGTCTGGTTTCTCAGATTATTTGCTCAGCATAATAGACTGAATTAATATGGTGAAAAGATATAATACTGATGCACACCTTTCCTGATCTTAAACCACACAGTATCCCTTGTTCTGTTCAAATGACTGCCTCTTGGTCTATATACAGGTTCCTCATGAGTACAGTTAAGAGTTCTGGAATTTCCATTCTTTGCAATGCTATTCATAATTTGTTATGATTCACACAATTGAATGCCTTTGCATAGTCAATAAAACACAGGCAAACATATTTCTGGTATTCTCGGCTTTCAGCCAAGATCCATCTGACATCAGCAACGATATCCCTTGTTCCATGTCCTCTTCTGAATCTGGCTTGAATTTCTGGCAGTTCCCTGGTTGATGTACTGCTGCCACTACTTCTGAATAATCTTCAGTAAAATTTTACTTGCAAGTGATAATGATAGTGTTCAAAAATTTCCGTATTCCACTGGATGACCTTTCTTTGGAATGGGCACAGATATGGATCTCTTCCATTTGGTTGGCCAGGTAGCTGTCTTCCAAATTTCTTAGCATAGACGAGTGAGCACTCTCAGTGCTGCATCTGTTTGTTGAAACATCTCAGTTGGTATTCTGTCAATTCCTGGAGCCTTGTTTTTTTGTCAATGCCTTCAGTGCAGCTTAGACTTTTTCCTTCAATACCATCGGTTCTTGATCATATGCTATCTCCTGAAATGGCTGAATGCTGACCAATGGTTTTTGTACAGTGACTCTATGTATTCCTTCTATCTCCTTTTGACGCTTCCTGACTCTGAAAATTACTGAGATAAATTGACTGTAGTTTTTTTAGAAGGTAGAAATGTAAAGGTAAGTTTTCATTTCTAATTCTTTCAAATTAATAATTTTTAAAAAAACAAATTCTATTCAATACCTACATTATACTCTTCTCTATTCTTTATTGATATACCTTGCTTAGGCGTGAAGAGCACATAAAGTTAAAAAGCTAAATAACTTCAAAATACCTTTTCCGACAACTACTACTGAGTCTTCTGATAAGGTATTTGTGGATGTCAAGTCAAAACTGGAAATTTGCTGTAAATTTGATGTTGACCCTGTACATCCTATAAACAAAAAACAAAAAAATACAGACCCCACATTTAAAAATATTTACTTACTATATGATACTTTAGGATATTGTAACATGGCCTTTTAAAATTGAGATTTTACTTCATACAAAGATTTTATAATTTATTTACTTGCACATGCTCCATTAATTCAATAAATATTTATAATTAAAAGACCTACTATGCCCAGGCATTAGACAGAAAAGAAATCTTTCTTCCCCTAAGGAGCTTGCACACTTCAGGGTTACAGGTGGGAGAGACATAAACCCCATTGCCATGGAGTCGATTCCTATTCACAGCAACACTATAGGACAGAGTAGAACTGCCCCATAGGGTTTCCAAGGCTGTCATCTTTACGGAAGCAGACTGCCACATCTTTCTCCCGCAGAGCTGCTGGTGGGTTTGAACCGCCAACTTTTCAGTTAGCTGCTAAGCACTTAATCACTACGCAGCCAGGATTCCGAGCAAATAATCACAGCAAAACAATCTAGGACAAAGGCATAACTATGAAGGAAAGGCTTCTCTAACCTCCCAAAACAGCTTACGTCAATCTCGCAACTCCCTGTATTTATCCAAATTAACTTTTATCTCTGTTTGTGATTATTTCTCTCTCCTACTAAGCTGTAAGATCCACGGAGATAGGACCTATGCCTGTTTTTTATTAGCATTTTTTCCTAGAGACTAGTACAGTGTTTTGCACATAGCAGGTGCTCAATAAACATGTTAGATGATTGAATCAGGGCAGAAAAAAAGGAAAGCAAAATTATTCTAGGGTCAATGAAAGCAAAGCAGTTAACTACTGGTAAATTTGATCAAAAAACTGACTTTTTTAAAAAGTAAGTAGATAGATTATTTTGCTAACCTGTTAAGGCAAATGACTGTTTTGGCTTTGGGTGAACATGGCAGAGACTAAAGAAGGAAACCCTTGCAGGTGATATTTTTTCACATTTACCTTCTTATTTAAGAATAATCTGTAATAATCAAAATTAGTTTGCATTCTTATAGCACATACCAGCTGACAAAAAAATCCAGTAGCCCAGAAAGATATTCAGTGATAAAGGGAAGCATATTTTAGTAAATGGAGTAACTTCCCAACAAACAGTTCACAGGCATAAAATCTATACATAACAGTCAAGAGATGATTGAATAACTAGACAAATTTCACAAGGAAAAAGATACAAGGGCATGTTATTGCTAAGTAGTTTAACTTCATTATCAGAGAAGCTGATATAATTAATCGTTTTTAATTTTACTTTTATTTTTTCACTTTTGAACAAAGATGTGTTAATTCTCAATTCATATACACACACACACACACACACACACACATATACGTTTAAAGGATTCTTTACACACAAACTATGCTTATATAATCTCTCCTTCTTACTTCTGTCTGGTTCATTTAAGTAGAGAGAAAATATTAACATATGGGATTTAGTTTGCTAACACTCTAAGTATCATCATTAATCACTTTCTGTAAGTCAGTATTTGGGGCTCCAGGTTATTATGATGGAAAAAAAGCAGCCAACAGAGAAGAGGAATGGGAAGATGAGGTGGCTCTGAAAGCTAATCCCAAAAAAGTCTTAAGTTTCTTGTAAAATGAATCCATTCACATACATCTTTTGGAAGCCTTTTTATTGCATTCAGCATTGCACTCAATATTTATTTTAACCTGATTATTTGAGGATGTAATGTAAAAAATTTTTTATTATGGTGAAATATATATAACAAAACATTCACCATTTCAACCATTTTTATGTGCACAATTCAGTGACATATGTTCTCTATGCTGTGCAACAACATCACTATCCGTTTCCAAATTTTTCTAATACCCCTTACAGAAACTCAGTACCTCGTAAGCACTAACTCTCCATTTCCCCCCTCCCACCCTCCTCTGGTAACAACTAATAAACTTTGGTCTCTATGCATTTGCCTTTTCTGGATATTTCATGTAAGTGGGATCATACAATATTTGTCCTTTTGTGCCCGACTTATTTCACTTAGCATAATGTTTTTAAGCTTCATGTATGTTGTAGCAGGTATCAGAACTTTATACCTCTTTACGGCCGAATACTATACCACTGGAATCCCTGGTGGTATAGTGGTTAAGAGCTATGGCTGCTAACCAAAAGGTCAGCAGTTCGAATCCACCAGGTGTTCCTTGGAAACCCTATGGAGCAGTTCTACCCTGTCCCATAGGCTTGCTATGAGTCAGAATCAACTCAATGGCATCGGGTTTTAATATCTCATTGTAGGTACATACCACGTTTTGTTTATTCAGTCATCTGTTGATGGACAGTTGGGTTGTTTCTACCTTTTGGCTACCGTGAATAATGCTGTAATGAGCATTAGTGTACAAATATCTGTTTGAGACCTTGCTTTGAGGTCTTTTGAGTATATACACACCTAGAAGTAGAACTGCTGGGTCATATGGCAATTCTATGCTTAATTTTTGAGGAACTGCTACACTGTCTTCCACAGTGGCTGCACCACTTTACAACCCCACCCGCAATGGATGAGGGTTCCACTTTCTCCACATCCTCACCAATACTTGTTATTTTCTGTTTTTCTGATAAAAGCCACTGAGGATGTAATTTTTGAGTGATTTTGTCCAAAGCTACCTTATTATGTAGTTTCAGTTGGCTCATCAGCACTCCATTCATTCAACCTGTGATCACTGAGCACCATTACATACAAAGCATAATGGAGATATAAAAATGAATAGGATGGTATCTTTACTCTTAAGTGACTTATAATTTAGTATGGAAGAAATGAGACACAAATGAATAATTAACTGTAAGGTAGGATGAAGAAACACAGAAAGAAAAGACTACTCCAGAACGGGGAAATGTGGAAAGATTTCTGAACAAGCGGCTTTTAAGCCAGTATTCAAAAAGCTGACATGATCTGGACACATTAAGATTGGGAAAGGACACTCTAGGTAGACTCTAGAAGCAAACTAAAAAAACATCCAGTATTAAGAACGCTGGAGCATATAGTATGAAAAAAAGGAACACTAAGAAGTAATGTGGAGCTCTGGTGGCACAGTGGTTAACAGCTCGGCTGCTAACCAAAAGGTCAGCAGTTTGGATCCACCAGCTGCTCCTTGGAACCCTATGGGGAAGTTCTACTCTCTTATAGGGTTGCTATGAGTTGGAATCGACTCAATAACAACAGTTTAAGAGGTAATGCAAGAAAGTTATACTGCGTCAAGGCTTAAAAAGGTCTGACTTAAAAAAGTCAAACTACAGATTAGAAATTTTGTTCTGCGGGAAACAGGAAAACTACTCAAGGTTTTGACTACACTTTAGAAAGATAATTCTGGAAGGGTATATAGCCTGGATTAAAAAAAGATGAAAATAAGAGGCAAAGTGCCTTACCAGGAGGGCTCTTATAATTATCTAGAGAAGAGGTAATAAAAACCCAAATTACAACTGTGGCAGCAGATATATACAGTTAGACTTAGAAGTGGTAGGATTGGTCATTGTCTGAATTTGAGGGTGAGCAGAAGCAGACAAAGATGATTCTAAAGTTTTAAGTCATCAAAATTGGGGAAAAGTAAATGCTACAAATAAAAATGGACAGCAAAGAGGAGCAGGCCTGGAAAGGAATTTAAGTTTGGTTTTGAACATGTTGAATTTTGTTGACCAGATATCTAGTAAGTGTTTGGTATAAGGCTGAAAATATGAGTGCAAAGCAATTTCCTGGAGTAGAATTAACTACTGGTCAAAAAATTTAAAAAGGCAGGGCTCTGCCATCCAAAAAATAATGCCACTAGCATTCAAACAATTCTAAAATTCAAAGCAATTTTTAAGAAGATAATGAAAAATTGTAATAATTTAAGAATAAGAGTTACCTTCAAGAAGAAAAGTATTTTTGTCCTTCAGTGTCTTCACAGGAGATAAAACATGTAAATAAGTATTGAAAAACCCTATCAGTCTTGTAAAAAACAATGGACAACTCATCTCTGTCAACAAATATACTGAATTATATCACAGATTAAATTTTAAGAAAATTTATAGAAAAAGATTCTAATCAAGTTCCCTCTTACTCAATTTGGGTTGTTTCTACACACACACATACATGCACACACACACACACAGTCCTAACAATGCCTGATTACCTGCACATACATGACTTAAGATGATTAGAAATAACAAAGTATGGAAGTTGACCCTATTGCCATTGCAGTTGCTACACAGGGGAAAAAAAAAAAAAGCCAGTTACTTTCCCACTTACTGGTAGATTACAAGGCTTAAATACAGGTGATTTACAATTACTCTATTTACTTAAATATTTACACCCTTAAAAACCACTTGCATTCTTAAGTGAAATAAAAAAATTGCAGCTATAACAGAATCTCTGAAGACAAGATCAGAGTAGTTACAGTGCTGCTACTTGCTACTAAATTAAAAAAGAAAAAAAAAGAATATAAATAGTTAACAATGGTTAGTGATAAAAAAGAAGCCTTCCCAAGTTCTACCACAGGGAAATTATACTCGTGTTGCCAAAGCTTTACTCCATAGTTACAACCTAACTAGGCATCTGGGAGTCACTTACATCATTTTCTCCACTCCATTTTAGTGGTAAAACATCTTTTAAAAACTGTGTGTGTGTCTGTGTATTTTGGGGGATGAACTTAGCAGGGATTCCCTAGTTCTAACCTCCTGGACAGCTGCTTCCCCAGACTGGCTCCTCAGGCAAGGCCATAAACCAATACACGAACCTGTGAACTCCCTTATTTGGCAAAATTATTTGGGCAACAACATAAAAGCAAAAGGGCAAGATTAAAAATCTCACAACTAGTAATTCTCAGTTCATTTTTTTTTTATTGATATGCTAAGAGAGGATTCTGATTTAGAGACATTCAATTTTTAAAAATCAACTTGTCATGAAATGTACTAACCTTTTGTATGCTTATAATGTCTTGGGTGTTCCTTATTTTGTATTTTTAGAATACTAGGCGAAATGTCATACGATTTATCATCTTCAAAATTGCCACATCCACACCCATAGTTCATACGTTGACCGATTATGCTTACATTGGATGCTGAGATCCCTATAAAATAAAACAAATAAAAATGTTCATTGAGTGAGTTAGGTAATATTACATGATAGGTAAATATCTCCTCTTTAAATACATCTGTCCTTCTAACCTTTTAAAAAGTCAGTAACATAATGTTACAAATTTTAAAAGTTTTAACCTATTTTAAAATTTATAGTAATTTTTAACTTACACATATGAACATTTATTATAAGCTTTACTACATTTCATAAAAAAGCTTTAAAATTACAACAGAAAATACAAAATTCAATGTTTGAAAGATATATATGCTTTAAAAATATGACAGGCACTTAAATGTGTAAGTGAAATTCTTAACTTTACACCAAAAAGAAAATTTGAAAAATCCAGAATTTAAAAACTGTGGACTGAGAGATGCCTATATCATTCCTCCTACCCCGCAACCCCACCCCATGTAATGAGGTTTATACTGGGCTGGTTACTGAGGCAGTAAACTACATAAGTGATTAAGACTTTGGAATCTGGAATGATGTTCCTGGTTTAAATCATAGTGCAGCCACTTAAATTGATGAGACAACCTGGGAAGACACTTTACCCCATTTTTAAATGGGGGATAATAGTCGTTATTCTTCCGGGCTGTTGCGAAGATTAAATGAGAAAAACATATGTAAAGGGCCTATGCCTACCCGCTGCTGTCAAGTCAATTCCGACTCATAGTGACCCTACAGTACAGAGTAGAACTGCTTCATAGGGTTTCCAAGGAGCAGCTGGTAGATTCGAACTGCTGACCTTTTGGTTAGCAGCCAAGCTCTTAACCACTGCGCCATCAGGACTCCACATAGTAAACACCCAAATGTTATTATTTCCCAATTAAAAACCAAACAAAAACCAAAAACCCTAATGTAAGCCTCCTTTTAACAAATGTAAAAAATTTAATCTACATTTACATGTTTAAACTGACCACCTATATCACTACCTTGTAGCTGTTGAAACCATAAAATAGCTTTTACAACATAGGTAAGTCACTTTCCATTTATATATATATAGCTTCTACGTAAAAAGCATTAAGTAATAATCATAGTAAAATATAATGCATCTTTAATAACATGTGAGTATTTTAACAGAAACCACAATAGGGGGAGGGAAGGAGGAGACTGGTGGTAGTGTGGTTAGGGAAGCCTGCAGAGTAAAGGGCACTAAGTCAGTTCACAGAGAAACATCAAGAAATATCTGATGTTCAATGATAGAACTTCTGAAGTAAATGAATATCTTTCTAATTCCTCTCAGTTTTGACAGTTAATTCAGAAAGTAAGCTACATAAAGATACTGGCTTTGGGTGGAAATGCTTTCTAATAAAGGTGATGCTAAACTAACGCTACAGGAAGTAAAGTTTAATACAACATTATTCAGAAAATTGATCACAACATGCCGTAATAGGTAATGGTGGGATGTACGTGGAACTCTTCAGTGGAAGTGCTACATTTATAATTTTACATAATTGTTATTTTTGTTCTTGTTCTTCAGTTAATCCTTATTCTAAGCATTATCATTTTCATGTTCTAGTAATTAAATACCAATAAACTTGTAGAAAGCACTTGCTTACCGAAAACAAAACAAATTCTATCCCACAAAAAATGTAAATCCAAATTTATAAAATCCTAAACCATTAGCAAATTAATATTTTGAAGCATGCTAAATTTAACCAGGAATATCTTACAGTGAATTGATCAGTAGCAGTGTTTCCAAAACTTGATTCTAGAAATATCTGTCATTTGTTTAAAATACAGATTTCTAAGTCTGAAAATTGATTCATGAGGTATGAGGGAGATGATACCCCAGAACCTGTATTTGTAACATGCACCCCAGGTGATTCCTAGGATTAGGTAAGTTTGGAAAACACTGGATACCGCATATAGAAGTACGTACTATGATAAGACGAATCACTCCACTAACATTTAAGTGAGTCACAAGGTCATACAACTAGGATCGGAGGGGAACTCAAATCCAGGTTTTCAAAATCCGTTTTTTTTTCCCATTCCAAAGACATTCTTCCAAAAGAGGGGTCCATTTTTACAAACTAAATACAACCTAGCAGTTAGATGTCTCTTTAAATTTACATAAATATTTACAAAATTATAAAACAGATTAGGATGATCGGCCTTTAAAAAAGGACGGAAGGATATTTATGCATTCTATTTCTTTGTGTCTCCCTCATAAGGAGAACAAATAATTGATGCACACTATGCACTAGGTGCTTTATATATGTTATATATTTAAATCTTCACTATCCTTCTCAAGGTTTATATTATCAGATGAGGGAACTGAGTTTCAAAGCCTTTAAGTAACTTGTAGAGTGTGACAATAGCTATTAAGTACCAAATTGGGATTTTAACTCGGGTGTGTCAGATTCCAAAGCCCATGCACACTCTTCCTGTGCCTAGCAGAGTAGTTCTTTGTCCAACACTAGTTTAGTGCAAGCCAGTATACCAGGCACACATGGCTGAACTAGGCATTCAGGATTATGGCAGGCACTCGGTAAATATTCAAAGGGAAATAACCTCTGGGCTTCAAGAATCTGACAGCAAAAAAAAAAAAAAAGGTAAAATAATTGCAATACCACTATAATAGAGGTTGGTATAAGATGTAATGGTATCACAGAAGATGTAACAATCAATTTTGTTTATAAAATAGGGAGGGCTTCCCAGATAAAGCAACTGAGCTGTGTTTTCAGAGCTGAACTGGGGGTGGTGTGGATTACCGACTTCTTCAGAAGAATTAGATTCTGCCAATGCAAAGAGACAGGAAATAGTATTGAAGTTAGTCTGATTTAGCTGGAGTACAAGATACAAAGAGAGAAACGAAAAATGAGGCTGGAGAGGCACACAGGGGCCAGATCATGGAAGGATGCTCTGAATGGATTTAAACTGCGCAACATAGTCAGATTTGCACTGTGGAGAACAGATTAGAAGACAGCGAGATTGAAGCTGGGGGGAATATTTAGGTTAACCAAAAATTGAAAAAAAAAAAAATCCATTGCTGTTGAGTCAATCCCAACTCATAGTGACCCTAAAGTACAGTGTAGAACTGCCTCATAGGGTTTCCAAGACTTTATGGAAGTAGACTGCCATATCTCTCTCCTGTGAAGGGGCTGGTAGATTTGAACTGCAGATCTTTTGGTTAGAAGCCAAACACTTAACTGTGCCCCCAGAGCTCCTTCAGGAGGCTAAATAGGCAAGTAATGAGGAAAAGTGTGAATTAAAGCAATGGTTGTAAGGATTAAAAAGAGGAGATGAAATTAAGGGATACTTGGAAGTAAAAATCTTAGCAAATTAAAAATTAAAAATCTTAGCGAACAATTAGATACAGACAAGGTTTTTTAGGTAATAATTATGTAAGATAGAGCAGCCTTAAAGTTGTTAGGACCTTCACATTGAGATCATATGAAAATAAGTATTATATCACAATTTGTTACATTTAATTCACAATTCAATATAGTTTTACTAACCATAAAGCAGAATCACATGCAGTTCCCTTTCTAAATAGACTTTTTCTGAATAATCTAAACAAAAATTTTTCTGCTAAATGATTACTAGTAAATAAACGTATTTTCTTAGAAGTGATGTTTTAAGTGAGAGACTTCTAGGTCAGCTCACAAAATTCTTAACACAAGATACCTTTAAACTTAACCACTATTTAAATATTGTTTTTAAAGGAATTATTCTTCTGTTCTGCCACAGCCTATGGCCATGGTGTCCAAACTTTGCTGTACATTAGAATCACCTGGGGAGCTCTTAAAAATCTGATGGCCGGGTCACACTCCATTCTAATTAAACCAGCAAGTTTGGAGGTAGGAGCCAGGCATAGGTATACCTATGGGCTTAAAAGGGGATCATTTACTCAGGTAAATATTTTTTTTCTCCCAAGAATAATATAATATTTATTATTGCCAAAATGGCCTTCTAAGGAGTTAAAAAAATGATTTGTCTTGACTGGCAACTACAAAAATTTTAAATCTGAAATACACTCTCATCGTTTTTCACATTAATTAAAAAATTATATTTTCTATAAATGTGATTTATAAAACAGTCATCAAATACCTGCACTGGGGCTTTGTTCAGCTGTATGAGAGTTTTTACTTTTTGCTGAAGGAAGTCTTGTTGGGCCAGGTTTTGATCCAAATGTTGGAACTATGTCTGACCTACAATGAAACAAGGTAATTTCAATAAATATTTAAAATTCAGAGCTATTTAACATTTTTATATCACACATTCTCTATTCTTTTTAATAATTCACAAAACATTTAGATAATAAGGCAGCAACAGATATGAAAAACTATGGCTAAAAATATCTTTTATTGGTAATCTTATTTTACCTTTTGAACTTTCAACCTTTTAAACACATGGTCAATTCTTAGTTACTCAGAAGACAACTTCCACAGGAAACGAAAACTCACCAATTTGTACCGTATAATCTCTGGTTGGTTCAAAAATAACTGTTCCCAGAGAATTCATTTCAAAGCCAAATCAAATGATCCCTAATTATCTAACATAATATCCACCTTCACATATAATAATACAAAAATAGAGGCTTGACTATATCATAAGGGACCTGCAACAAGTGAGTTTGGCAAATGCCACTTTCTTCTTGGACTATTCTTTGCTGTGCTTTCCTGACATAATGAAAGCAAACTGAAAAACATTACATCTGAATGTAAGGGAACCATTTCAAATTCATAAGTGTTATAATGTCAATAAGCCAGTGATGGATATTACAAAGAGGAGATTTTTCAAAGGAGTACAATTGTTAGTAGTGGAGTAGGCATATTTGCCAACGGGCCTAACAAGAAACCAATGTTAAATATTTTAAAAGCATAGTCTCTCTAGAAGGAAGCCCTGGTGGCACAGTGGTCAAAGCGCTTGACTGTTAATCGGAATGCCGGCGTTTCAAAACCATCAGCAGCTCTGAGGGAGAAAGATGTGGCAGTCTGCTTCCATACAGATTTACAGCCTTGGAAACCCTATGGTGTCGCTATGAGTTGGAATCAACTAGACAGCAGTGGTGGTTTAATCTCTCTAGAAAAAATTACTGCAAATTTACATTTATATTTAATGTATTTGACTTGGATGGAAGAAAATACTTCAGTCTCTAAACAAGCGGTTCTTGACAATTTTTCTTCCCCAACCCACCTAGAGGTGAAAGCCTCCTATGAGAACAGTGATTTTCTTTGGCCGTGATTCTTAAGGAAGGGTGCAAGCTGGTTGAGAAGCACTGCTCTAAAGGTACTAAATTTAAATGTGTTTTAGAAATCCTAAATGCATTAAAGGTAATTCAGTCCATAAATGAGGGAGTACTGAACTTCTCTCAGAGTCCCATACCTGGACAGATTAACTCTATGAGCCAATATAGGAAATAGTCAATTTTAAATGTTATAAAATGTACCCCCCAACCCCAAGGTTCCACGTTATTTACACAATCTTGCAAGTGTAGGAGTATATAGTATAAAATTTCACCTTCCTGGAAGATGAGGGAAGGACTTTAGGTCTAAAATAAATGATAAATAAATATTTAAATATCTGTAATTTAATATAAACTTAGTTATTTCACCAGCCCATGTAGCCATTCCAAATTCATTTTGTAAATGTATTATATTATTCTACCTGGGCAATTACAACAAAGAAATATCCAGTAAGAAAAAATTTCACACAGCAAAATAAGCTGCTACTTAAATAAAAAACGTAGAGAAAAAAATCATGGGATGAGACAAACCACCCACAATTACACACAAAAATTGTGTTTAATTCTATGAATTGCTTATCTACAATGTTAGTGTTCCCAGTTCACTTAAGTAAAAATAATTTTAATTTAATTTTAAATATTTACTTCTAATAGATGTATTACCACCATAAACATGGTTTGAGATAAAAGGAAAATAAAATTAAGAAAAAACTGACACCACCAAATGTTAGTTAGCAAGGATATGAGACTACTGAAATTAAAACATCACTGATGGGAGTGTAAAATGGTACAACCGTCTTAGAAAATGGTTTAATAGTTACTTAAAAAGTTAAATATACATCTACCCTACGACCTAGCAATTTTACTCCTAGGTTTTTGTCCAAAATAAAGGGGGAGAAGATTCCCCAAAGCCCTAGACTAGGGTAACAAAGGTGCCTATAAATCAGGGGCAGGATCACTGAACTTTAGAGATTATAGCAGTAATCTGGAAAAGCCAGTGAAATTGCTATGCTAGAAAATTCTGTCAGCGGGGGATGGCCAGGACTCCAATCCCAGCACTACTGCTGTAGGGAGACTCCTGAGAGAGCTGCAAGAGCTGTGGCATGGGTTCCCGAGCTTCTACAAAATAATGGAAATACAAGATATAAGAAATAGTGGGATAAGGGCTGGGTAAATTTTATATTTTGTCCATAAATTAGAGGAAATCAGTTCTGAGTTTAAAAATGAGCAGCAATATTAGCTATAGATCAACTGGCAAAAGAGTTAGAGATCCAGAAAAGAGCTGGAGGACAAACAATATCAGGATAAATTTTAGATAGGCAAAAACAACTGGTCCTTTGAGGATTAGGTCTTATACTAATTCAAGTGCCCTAGTTACAGATAGGGTTGTGCTCTCTGTTCAACCCCACCCCAAACCAGAACTAAGCAAGGTAATATCTGTAAATTCTTCCTTTTTTAAATGTATTTTAAGATTTTTAAAACCAGAATATCAATGGTTTTAAAGTTTTTTCTCAAATATAATATCAGGGCTCCAGATTACAAATTATAATTAGCATTCATTTAACATGTCAAAAAATAGAATACATTATTCTCTTCCCCTGGGGAGTTGTAGATAGAGAAGAAGTCAGTGATTCTTGGCTGTAAACTCCACTTTCATTGTAAGAGGTGATGTTTGGAGAGGAAGATCGAGATAGGGAATCCATAGTTAAGTCGAGCTTAATTGCAGAATCAGGGCTCTCAAGGTCAGAAGTACTGCCACTTAGTTTTGCCCTTTTCTTAGCGGCACTATTCCGAAGGGACCGAAGAGAGCTCTGCATCTGAGAAAACATTTAAAACAATTAATTTTACCAGAGACCATAAATTCTTTATATCAATATCAGTTACCCCTAGATTTTAAATTCCATTAACTGCACCCAGCCAAAGCAATCCTGGTAATTCACTGGTTAAAGCACTTGACTGCTAACCAAAAGGTCAGCAGTTCGAACCCACCAGCCCCTCTGAGGGAGACAGATGTGACTATCTGCTTCCGTAAAAATGTACAGCCTTGGAAACTCTATGGGGCAGATCCACTCTGTCCTGTAAGGGTCACTATGAGTTGGAATCGACTCAAAGGCAATGGGTTTGGGTTTTTGGTACCTAGTTAGCCACTACCCAATACAGCACTAACAACATGGATGCCAATACATAAGTTGTCGTTAGATGCCGTCAAGCTGGCTCCAACACACAGCGACCATATGAATAACAGAAGGAATTGATGCCTGGTCCTCCGTCATCCTCACAATCATTGCTGATTGAACTCAATGCTGTAGCCACTGTGTCAACCCAAATATATAAGTACAATACATAGTATAAATACACAGATTTCATTACTCGGTTATTTATAAACAACCTATTAGGTTATAAGCTACTTGAGAGGAAGAATCTCAACCTATTGTTCACCATGATATCTCAGCAACAGGCATGATGGCTAACATATTGTATATGCTCAATTAATAAACAAATCAATGAATCAGACAGTAGACATTAGAGTTGAAGTCACAGAGGTCCAGCTGATCTTAGATCACTGGTGTGCTGAGGTGGCTACTTAGTAGTTCTATGAGAAAGTTAAACAAAAACAATCAGTCCTCTGAAGTCTAAAGTTTATATGAAGCTTGCAAATGTTAGAGTTCAGAGAATAACAGATCATTATACATGACTTAGGAAGTCAAGTATTTCTAGTAATGAAGAGTAGAAATTTTTATTACAAGCCAATATATTAAGCTATGTATCGTTGGGAATAGAACCTTAACGAACATAGAAACATCCATAAACTGTGCTTTGTTTGCATTTTGATTCCTAAGGTTAAGCATTTAACAAAATCTGTCTTCAGTAAATGAAAGCTTCCATAAATTTCTTAAGCCTTCATACTTGGAAGGCAGGCTCAACAAATCCTTTAACGGGTCATGGCAGTGTGGTACAGTGAAAACCACAACGAACATGGAGTTAGGAGAACTAGATTTGAATCCTAACCCTTCCAGTTCATGTTTGACCCTGAGCAACATGTGACATTTCTGAGTCCCTTCTGTAAACACACACACACACACACACACACACACACACTAGATCTTGCCTTACTTAATTCAAGGGGTTACTTTAAAGGATAAGTAATAAAAATAAAAGTGTTGGAGACACTATTAAGTACTATAAAAATGTAAACATGTTTCAGTACAAAAATGCATATAGAAGTAAAATTGAACTGAAAAAATTAATGTACTTTCCTTTGTAAGAATACAATCCTAATCCATGCAGTGCCTTTCTTTTAAAGTCAATTCACACTGAAGAAGATAAATGATGACCAACTTACGAAACAATAAATAAGAGACACCATATTAGTATCTAGGTTGATTCAGTAGTACAGCCACTTGCCTACTAAATCCTTAGAAGGCTGAATAGCATCCTCCTGTATTTACTAATAATTATTATAAAAGAAATTCAACTTTCAGTTATTCACTAACAGAAAAAAGTCTATTTTTCAGCACAACTTGTCCAAAGCAAGGTCATGAAAGCTCCACAGACACATCCAAACTCCCTGAGGGATCAAATTGCTGGACTGAGCTGTGGGGACCACTGTACTTTAGGTGAAGCTTTACAGAACAAATAGTTTCTCATTAAACAGTCAGTACACATATTGTTTTATGACATTGGTTAACAAATCCAACAACCTTTTTTTTTTCGTGAAAATATACATAGCTGAAGATACACCATTTCAAAAATTTCTACATGCACTGTTCAGTGACATCGATTATGTTCCTCCAGCTGTCCTGCTATTCTCACTTTAGATGAAGATTTACAGAACAAAATAGGTTCTCATTAAACCATTAGTACACATGTTGCCCTATGACAATGGTAACAACCCCACTACATGTCAACACTGTCCTTACTCAACTTGGGTTCCCTACCACCAGCTTTTCTGTCCCCTTCTGCCTTCTAGTCCTTGTCCCTGGACTGCTGTGCCTCATTAGTCCCATTTTGTTTTATGGGGCTGTCCACCCCCGCCTGAACAGCAAATCTCGGAAGTGACTTCACCTCTGAGTTAAAAGGGTGTCTGGGGGCCATATTCTTGGGGTTTCTCCAGTCTCTTT